TATATATATTTTCATTTTAATCAATTTATTTTAAGTTTATTTAATTGAATAATCGATTTCTATTGTGATATTAGCTTTTGCCTCGACAAATTCATTTGAAAAGTTTCTTTTCAACAATGCGAACACTTTGTTCGAATATTACATTTGTAAAAGTTAATCAATATCGCATAAATAAATGGCAGCGCTTTCAAATGAATAAGCAAAAAAAACTGAATTACAGAAGCAAGGGATAAAGATAAAAAAATAGCGCAATACAATTAAAAAAGATCGTATTGTATATAAAAAGATCCAATTGTATATAAATTCGTACACATAAGAAATAAAATATATGAATAAAACAATAAAACACACACACACACATGCGCGCGCGTCTTACTTAAAATAAAATAAGAATAAAGAGTGAATTATTAAACAGAGATTAAAATTAATAAACATTGATAGAAACGGATATGAATTATTTTTACATACAATCTCTGTACAAAATGCTAGGATGATATAACACATTGTAATTCACTCACGTATAATCTGCAGAGACAAAGCAGTTACCCGCGAAGGAACAATCGCGAATGGTACAGGAATCAGGATTCGGATGTTCATCGGTCATTTCGTACGTCACGTTGAATCCATATACATCGAGTAGATTGTTCAAAACCCTGACGTGATTGCCCTCGAGCCGATCGATCTCGAATTCGACCACTAGGAACGGCCTAAAGGTTCTGAGACGTCGATACTCGAAGACATTTCCTTCTGTCACCTCCTTTATTAGAGCAGCTCCATAATTCATGGTCTCGGACTCATAATACGCGTATTCGGTGAAGCGGAGCCCTTTGTAGACGTAAAGTTGCGTCAGATAGACGACGATGGAGCTGTTGGTCGATGGAATGTCAGACACGTCGATTATCCAGCGACACTTAATCGGAACCGGAAATGGCCCTGGAAAATTCGGCGTGTGTATGACACCTCTAGAGCCGGCCAAGTGGCCACCGCAGAACGGATCAAAGTTCATAATAACACCCGGCAAATTGATGCAGAAAAGACACAGAAGAAGAGAGACACCTGACACAGTTGCCTTCATCTTTGTCGAATCTATTGGAAAATAACAAAATGTGAGCATATAAAAATGTCAAATAAAGTTAATTAATACTAGCACCGTAAATTGGATTACAAACATACTTTTTTTGGGGGGATTTTTAGATGCTTTCCAAAACGCAAGAAAATTGACTACAAATATGTTTTCATTTTTCGCAATTGGCGTTTACCAATGTCATTAATGTTTACCAATGTCTATTCATTTTAATTTTGGTTTAATTTATTTTTTGTTTCTCTAATTCTTAGAACTAAAAAAGATAAAAATAAATTAAACCAAGATTAATCTACATTAATCTACATTGGTAGAAATAAACATATAAATTGATATTGCAAAGATAAATATTCATTAAATTCATATAATCCTTAAGATTGTCATGTATCAAAACAAAAATATAAAAAGTTCATAAATTATTCTATTTTCTTTTTGAACAGGAATTATTTAATTTTTGAATTTTTATAAGTTTTTTATAGACAGAATTCACATATTGCAAAATACTAATAATAATAAGAAACTAAATAGTATATTTAGAATATATCTTGTTTTAAAATTATTAATTTAATATACATAATTATTATTTTCATATTTTATATATATTTATTCAATATTATTATTGAAAACTTATAATAATTCAAAATCTTATAAATTATTATTTTTGTTTTTTCCAATGAATTTCAGAAGATATTCATAATCAAAATATTTTTCGTTCATTTAATTTCATTTAATAAATATTTTCTTTCATAACAGTGTGAAAAATATTGTTAATTCCTTTATATTTTAACCTTTTTACAATCCAAATCTATTTAATATTCGAAACAATATAAAGACAAGAGATATGTTTTTCTTAAACTTCGGTAACTTTTACTACTATTATAGCCAACATATCATTAGATTTTTCGAAACACTTCTTGAGGAATGAACATCTCGAGATAATCGGAGATAACGAATCTAAATAATGTAACTACGATCTCTAGGTGACGATACGTCGAAGTAAACACACGTCGACGCAACATCTTCCTCACCTTATCGGCGACTCGAACGGGGCGTTATCACGATATTTCCCGATGAATGAGTTGTCTTTGCTCTCTTCGCCGTTCAAACGCTACCCTCTTCGTTTCCCGCATCGATGCCCCAGCATCACGACGTCGATATCCCCTCGCGGGGGGATTGCCAGAGATGCGTTGCGTTCAACAGTCGGACTTATCCCTGCGCAAAAGCGCGGGGAATCTTGGGGGGATGGGATAAATGATGCATCTCGATCGACTACATCGTCGAGATATTGACGAGGAGGTGAGATGCGAGATTCGCAGCTTGGTAATCTTGCCGATGAGAAGCGGCAAGATGTGACGACAAGTTGTGACGAACGAGCAATCGAAAGATGCACGTCGATGTACCTCGATACGACCTTGCGACCGAGGTCGCGCGCACAAATACTGCGATCTTCCTTGTTTGCTCTTATCACGAGATACGCAACGTCGCGCGATCTGTCGGCGCTGCTGTGGGCGTGAGCCTCCTCCACCGACCTGTCCGCGCGCCCACCCTCAGCAGTGCACCCCCTAGATTAATCCGTGGTGTATGTGTGTACATAGGTATGTGTTGACGTGTGGGAGTATTGATATGTATTATCGTTATAGAAGGGGAGAAGTTTAATGAATAATTCAAATCCCAATACTGCCAACTATCAATTCATGTAAATCACACTTTGACATCTAAGATACGCTCGCAAGCATCATTTGTTCTTGTTCAACATTCAGCAAAGATATCTTTCTAGCGATAGATTAATAACTTTAGTCTCGATTTAACTTACTTTTTATTTTTTTATATCAGAATGAAAAGAAAAAACAATGAATAAATCAAATCGAGATTATAATTTACAGACCGATGGACTGCACCCGAGTTGATACCAAAAGCACGATATTTTCGAAAACGGATCAGAAATATTTTTTTGTCTTTATGATTTTCTCTTGATTCTTTAAATCAATTCAGATATATAATTAGGATTGAAGCTTGGAATATATGAAACTTTTAGAGTGTATTAAATTTTTAATATCGGTGTTTTGTATAGGATATCAAATAAAAAAGATTTATATACATATAAAATAAAATTATGATTTTAATCTTTTTAATATTAAATATCCCCATTTCATACATACACAATTTTGAATATACTCGTTTATCACGCAAATGAGGAGATTAAAAGGAAAATATACAGGATATAGGAACGATAATATGATAACTTGATAATGAATTGACACTGACATAAGGTCGTATGTCAATGATTCATCGTTATCTGTAAACCACATGAGGTATATATCGGCGATGGTTAAGTAGCAGCGCAAGATAACTCAAGATAAGAGCTCATCTTGAAAACGTTACTAGAAACATAAAACGCGTACTCATGCAGATTACATAAAGTTTCAAACACATACGCCAGAGAAAAAAGAAACAGCATAAAATCGTTGCGTAATAAAAAGTTATGTATTTTTTACATGAGAATAGTGACGTGTGATTCGCTTATAATTTTCGGTTATAATTCATGTACAACTTTATCGAAAAAGGCAACGGTAACTGTTCTATCTTTTCCCTCATGTAAACGGCGAACGCGTTGCTATCTATATAGTGCGCAACAGTTACGTTTTTACAGGTATTAGAGTCTTTCGATGTTGGGCGAGAATTGCATGTGTTTCTGCACGATTTATAAATTGCGATCTCGGGTAGATCTACGTCCATCGCATCGCCCGCATCCGTGGTGTCAGTGATATCCGAATCCGAGTGATTGGTATTCTTGCTCTCGTCGTTGCTAAAATTCGCATCGTCCACTATACCGCTGTCCGTTTTCTCGCGCTTCGCAATTTTCTTGCGTTGTACAAAAGCACTCTCTTGTTCGGTGTCGCTATCGCTATCACTCATATTGGTATACGCGGCTGTGCTGGACTTCTCTGAGTCTTTTTTGTTTCGCTCCTCATTGTTGTTGTCACTTGTATCTGTAGTTGCAGACGAACTGTGACCTGCACTTGCACCGTCTGTACTCGAGGCAGAATTCTTCGCGGCTGATTTCCGTCTCTGTTGACGCACATGGAAATCTGTATTTACACCGATATCTCGAGTACTGTCGTTTGTATTGCCCGAAACTCGTTGATTCTCATCGCCGTCTTCGCTGTTTTGATTTGGTTGTATGACTGCACGTACCAAGAAACGCACTCGCTCGGAGATTTCTTGTTCGTCATCCGTTAAGGCTTCATCGGACTCTTCAAAAATAGGTATTACAAAACGTCTGAGGGCACGTTGTTGCGCAGTCTGTCTCTGATGGACTGGTATTACAGGCTTCACAGTCTCGAGATCGGGGTGTTCACACCAGATATTATGGCGTAAATGATGTCGAATCCTACCACGACACAACTCTTGCAGAGATAATGGGTTGCATTCCGCTGCAATGTAGAATTTTAAGAATGGTATAAAATATTGTGATTGTTCGAACGAAAAATATTTACAAAGTATACATACGCAGATGAAATAAATTGTGTTCCGAGGACGGAGGTATGACTAGAGTCGCGAAAGAGACGGGAAGCATTGTATACTGCAACCAAGTGTTTTCATCTACTCGTTTCACACGTAATAATTGTTCTTTATAAGGCATTACCAATATACCTCCAACGCGTACAAACTGTTTAATAAATGCCTCGTGACTTTCAGGACATGCGGCCCCACAATATACTCTGTCATATTGCCTACCAGGTATGATGCTAAGACAATTTCCTATTGGATACATTATTATAATATTTGATGTAAATTTATTATTAATTCTCGTTCCTGATGTTAAAAAAAAATTATATTACCTTGTATAAATACAGGTTCACAAAAATCAAACTCGTTTAAAGCCAGTGATATCTGCTTGAATTCTTCCAACCTTTCATATGCGTATTTTAAGCAATCTTCGTGCAACTCGATACCATGATTTGTTCCATGTTGTTCTAGAAAAAATATAAAAAATATTATATACAATTGAGAATAAAATTTATATTGAATTTTATATTTAAAAAATCTTTTATTTTATATTTAAAAACTTATGTTTAAATATATTTTTAAAAATATTTTAAAACAATAACTCTTTGTTCTTACTTAATAAGAGTCCTGCCATTGTACTGAGGTAGCCAGTTCCTGATCCAAGATTCAGGAAGCTCAAACCAGGTTCTAAACTAAGCCCTTCCAATACTTCACTATATATACAGGGAGCTGATAAATGTATATTTCCATATTTCCAAGCCAGATCCTTATAAGCATCTTCTCGATAAGCAGATAAAACATAATTCGCTCTATCTACAGCTCTAAAAACTTGCTCCACCTTCTTCGTTCTAATATATCCCGATCCCATTAAATTATCCACTAATTCGTCATTGTCTTGCCCACTGCTTACTGCTCCTCCCATATTTATTTAAATATCAAGTATTCTATAACAAATTCAATGTATATATTAATTTATTGTTATGCTATTACACAGTCAACAAATAAAAAAATTAATAGGAAAGTCCAACTTTCTAAATAAGAATAAGTAAAAATAGTTTGATAAATTTAAATAAGCATATTTTGCACTATTGTATATTCATAGATATAGATATGATATTCATAATATATAATCCCATTATATTATTTTAATTCTTCATAATTAAATCCTGATCAAACTTATTTAACTAAATAAAACTTTTTATATTTTCCTAAAAAATATTCTCTACTTTATCAACAATTTATATAAGATTTACATTTTTTAAAATATTGTAAGCACATAATTAAAACTAAAATTTTTCTATTTTTTTATTCTTATGATAAAATGATAAGTATGATCAAACAATTTAATAGATATTCAAACTTTATTATTTTTTGTGAATTATCTTTAAAATCAAAGATTTACATTATAATAATCATGGTCTATAAGATTGTTTTGCTAATTAAAATTATGATAAATCAAATATAGAACAGACAAGGAAATACTGTCTTAAATATCTTTATAAATTTACTCGTTACATAGAGCAAAACCAAATAATAAATTGGTAGAAAATGTTTATTTTAGGAAAACAATAAGCAAG